ACTTCATGTTTTTCAACTGAAGGCAGTGAATGAATTTTGCAAGTTGGTAGACATTATCCTGCTTCGGTCACTGAAAATTTATTAAAGTTTGTTTTTCAATGAACATATCATATATGCAGAAGGGAAAAGGTCGAAATTATCTCACTTTTTGCAAACTAGTTACCATACCAAGTCATGTTCGACGCTGTATCTTCATCACGCTCACTTGTAGGAACCAATCGTTATGGAGGTTTCGGGATGTATCTTGTTCAGGTGGTGCGAATGATGTCTCAAAATCTTGTCTTTATGTTGCAAATAGGGATTGAATTCAGATATTGAATAGAGTAAACCCTTATGAGTCTAGCTTCAACTGCGATGAACCTAAAGATTACTCCAAGTGTCAAGCAATTGGTTGTTTTTATGTTGCATCTAAAAAAATAAGCAAATACAGATTTCTGATATTGAGCAGAGCCAATCAATTAGTTGTTTACATGTTTCATTTAGAAAATCAGCAAATACAGATTGCATTCTGATATTGAATAGAGTTATGGTCTATGAGAAACATAATGTTTCTCGTGGGCGGGATTGATTGAGTAGAATCAGATCTCCTGTACTGCCGGTGAGATTTATCCTACAGCTCCCCCGACACCCCGTCCATAGTCGGTAATCCCGCAGTATTACCCGCTACAATTTCTGCCGGATACCCGGCCTCCAGAGCAGGGCAGTTAATCTTGCTGTATCGATGTTTCCAATGGCGGCTGCCATAGGTTATTGTGGTACTGAGCTAACATTATGACATCGTCCCTTAGGACAGGATTGCAGTCGTCGTAAGTTCGAAAACTGGGGGCATTCTCTGGATAATAGACTAGTCCTGCCTATGTCGTACAAAATTCAGCCTTGGTACAAAAAAGGTTGTCTTTTTTTAAAGAATTTTATCTAATTTAATTCTAAAGAAATACAGTGGTGGTCAAAACATTCATACGAAGTAAAGGTAAAGACGTGTTAAGATAAAAAAGCTAAATAGTACAGATGACGCGGCTTGTAAACATTACGTTTCTAATCTCAACCAACTTAGCATTTAACTTTCCCCATATGTTCTTTTTAACCTGTTTACAATTTTGAGCATTGATGCACTCCATCTTACAATATAGTGGTTATCTTTGATACTTTTCAGAGGCTAGATCTGTCATAGCCCGATTGAAAATTTGGGGATATTTAAATCGTAATATATGACCTACGACGAATGTGAAGGATCCATTGATAAATTTCTTGATTTGCCTGAAGTTGCCGACGTTTAGCAAAGAAAAATTTGTGTCATATTCAGAAACACCTCGTTTTTTGTTCTTTAAAAGATGATTTTTAGAGAGCTTTTAGACTCGTGATTCATTTGTACATTATTACTACAGTATAGCATTTCCCGGCAGTGGGTAGTAAATTGAGGAAACAAACGTACAGTACTGTACATTATACACAGGAAATTTTCCATCATCAAAGACAGGTAAACCCCTACGGGTTGTGGTGCTACTAGCAGAATTCAATTTTAACCAAAACGCTGTCGGTCAAGTTCACTCCGGGCAGAAGTTTTATGTGCGAATCGAGCCAAAAAACCCATCTGCGGTCCTTCAAATTTTGGCTGTCATAAATCGAAAACACTGGAGAGTTGTGGACCACCGCATCCCTGTAGCAATGTTAGAAACTCTCATCCATCCTGGAAAGTTATTCCCCAATATCCCTGCATGATGGATGGAGGTGGAGGTTAAGGCGAGGCACTTCCCTATTGATTTGTAGATGTGTATATGGAGCTGGCCGCCATGTACGTACCTCAAACACACCGAGATGGTGCCGCTGTGGGATAAATGAATATGCACTTTTTAAGTCTTACTGTGAGCCAGACTGTTTCCAGGACCCACAAAAGCCAGTCCTCGGCACCAGGGCCATCATGCCCACGAGCAAATTACACCAAAGCGCCCCTCAGTTAGGCCCTGGTCCTGGCTAACTCTGAGCTTATAGGATGCTTTGAGCAAGGCCTTACTTTGAGGGTGGTTCGTAGACTCAGGCCTCTTAGAAGCCTTTTCATTCAAGAATACAACTCTTGTACACTGCTTACGATTTGATTCCTTTTTCACATTTCTTGCAAATGCCGAAATGGTTAAAGAGGAAAACAATGATGTAAGGCAACAGTTACAGTGTAGTATATTATGCCTGTAAATAATTGCATCCGGTTTGTGAATGACTGAATGGCAAAGCTCTTTATTTATTTACAACGACTTGTTTAGCAGGAGCCGACGTTTTGATGACCATCTGTCACCTTCTGAGTGGCCCTGATGAAGATGACAGACTGTCACTGAAACGTCCATGCCAAACAAGTGGCTGTAAATAAAGAACTTTGCTATTCAGTGTAGTATGATGTTGTAAAGTATGGCACTGGCGGACAGGACGTGGAATGAATACAAGTCCTTATTTACCATGTTAGCGTCATGAAAGTTTTGTCTTTATCCACTCGAGCTCAAAAATGAAGAGAGTGACCTGCAAGGTGACCTCTATCTTGAATCTGCTCAGGGTTTCAATAAGTCGAAAACCCTTCCACACTTCCTCCAAGACTTCCAACTGTAACAGGTCATCTAAGGTCCTGGTCTTTAACAGAAACATGCCATAAAGTAGACACAACTGCGCAGCCCCCATTCCAACCATTCGATCGGTCTGAGAGCCCGTTTACTCAGCAATTCTACAACATCGCGATAACATCTTGAGCCTCTTCCAAGTTTCCGGTGACATTGGTAGTCACCTTGAGAACGGCCGCAATCAAGAGCCGAGGATCTAATCTTGCCGGCACTTCCACCTGTATCGGACTCTTCATTTTCTACCGGCTTCCCTGTTAATCAGTGGACCTTGAGAGAACCTGTAGAAGAATGGGGATTTGTAGACCATTTGGGATTAAAACCCAGCAGTATATCAGTACAAATACGTGGTTAGGTCAATAGCACTTCTGCCTACGCTAAAGCTTACTTCCGTGGTAATAAAGCACAATACAAAAGGCAACAAATGGGTTTTATCTATTGGGGAGAAGATTTGACTATATTGAAACGTCCGTGGGTGTATAAGATACCGGGTTTTCGTTGTTAAATCCCAGGTTAAGATTGATGTGTACATGTGAATAGTGTCTCAGCTGCAGTATATGCTGAGGGTGTAACAACCATATGGTAAAAGTGGGACATAAATACGAGACGGGAAATGCATTTAGCGATGGTATCAGTCGTACGGAGATGAATGGCTCCTCTCCAGGTCCATTTCCCGACACGGTAAGGGTATTGCACCCGGGTTTGATGGGGCTGGGGCTCGTTCATGGTCCGACAGACGGTCCATCATTCATCAGGCCTTACTGGCCAGCAGGGAAGGCTGATCTTTTGAAATCGTTGGGCTCCAATAAACACAACACAATTATACTTTGGAGTGCGATCGTTTTCCTGGTCCATATTTTCGAGAACTTGGCGTGCCTCCCAACAGCGTGGCAATGTTAGCTTTACGAGACGTCTTGTTCAATTATGTTTTCTTTGTGACCCCAGGCAGGCAATGTCAAGTGTTGGTTTCTCATGAAATGTATTGTGCTTAAGCTACGGTCGCTGATCTCTACATTGTTTTTGACGAGTTTAAACGACCGCTAGTTTTGATATCCACACATTTTTCTATAAAATCAAAACTACTGATTAACTTGAGTGCTTGAATATCATTTAAGATTTTATTTAACTTACTTGTTTTCTCTTAGGCTTGGGACAAATCATTTTTGGATATGGCACTTTTCTAAGAAGTTTAAGATAAGTTCTCTTAAATACTGTAAAATTGAATAAGATGCCCTGACTTGATAATGAACGCTGATTCGCAGCTGCCGTCCATTCACTGATGGGATCTTTAATAGTCGATAAGTTCAAGGCTGACGGAAATGAAACAGATGGGTTTGTCTTAACTTCCTGGTCCTTCCTGACGGCACTTTGCAGGAGAATTACATGATAACTGAAAGACTTCATGATGGTTCTTCTGATTAGAATCGATTTGCAGAAGGAGGTCTTTCTCGGTCGGCCGGTAGATTACTTTGATGTCGTAAGTTCCTTTTCTTTATAAAGTCTTTGGAGTCAGCGAGGGAGGACAGATACTATTGAAAGCAAGTCTGTACTCTACTTATAAACAGATCTGTCAGAGTTTATTGTTTGATGTAATCCTGGTACTATCGTAGAGTGAAACTCGTGTGGCATATCTGCATTTTGCTCGACTCAGAACCAAGAGGTCCTGGGTTCGAGTCCTGACATGCCACCGATCTTGCAGCCTTGGAATCGTCGCTTAACACTTTCCTCACTTAACTCAAGTGAAAATGAGTTTCGTCCTGTCCTGTATTTGTCGCCTGCGTTAACGTTGGTGGCCGTCCGACCAATTGTCATGACAACAACTCCTGCAGTTAAATGTGCAAATTTTAAATGTAACTGGTCGTTCGGTGTAATGTAGCTAGCTGCTACCAAAAAGTGGTTATATTTGCTATTAGAGCTGTGTACCTAAACAAATTTTAGGTACAGGTACAGGTACAGGTACACAGGTTTAGGTACAGGTCCGGACCTGAACCTGTACCTGAACAATTCGACCAATTTATATGGTCTTCTGAACTCCTTCAATAACAAAAAAACATAAATAAACTTGATAGTTAAGGTTTATTCTTTGTTTATGGCGAATGCTCAGATAAAATATAGGCAAAACTAAGTGTTTTGTTTTCATGAACACGCTGTCCTTACACAGGGACCCATTGTTAACCACCTTTATACACATTTGAGGTCACAAATAGGCATAAAATTGGTGTGAAATTGTTTAGGTACAGTACCGGTACTGAGGGAGTAGGTATTTTGGACCTGTACCTAATCAATTTTTCCGGTACAGTATCGGTACTGCGTACCGGTACACAGCTCTATTTGCTATATATATACAAATATGGATACAGATTCATTTTTGACAACTGTTAACGAGATTGTGCTTCTCTCCAGGACAGCTCGGGCTGATGTTGGAGACGGTTGCAGACGGCTCTGCGCACCACACGGTCCGTCACGTGATCCACAGACTCGGGCGCATCAAGGTCAGGATTACACGGATCTCCCACCATGCACTGCACCTGCTCAGATCACGTGACATGGAGTACTTCCGGAAGTTTGAGGCGGTTGTGAAGGAGCCGTTTCTTCTGAGGACTCCTTGGAAATACCTGAGGACAGAGGAGGAGGAGCAGAGGGAAGAAACCATGACGGAAACCTGGTTTCCCGGGAATTTGAGCGACCATTGTCTGGCAGAGGTGACAGGTGGACTTAATTCCGACAAACACAGGTACGTAAAAATTAGTATAAAAGTTAATGTTTTGGTCATCAAAAATTACATAATGAGAAAAACACTGCTCTCCGACTAATGAAATTGGCTCACCGAATGTTTCTACTGAATCTCTCAGTCTTTATCAGCTATCTGACCCAGGTGCTGTGGACACGTAATTTGTCGGGACGGGACGGTACCGACTTAGGACGAACTTTGACCTAGTACTGATGTCACACTTGCAGAAGCATTACGTTTTTACAACACCTTGGTCAGATAGCTAATGAAGAATCAGTGTACATTCATCAAAACTTCCAGTTGGTCAAACTTTTTTTAGTTAAAGCTTGTTAGTGTGCCCTTGCTTACTCCATGAAACACAGGTATCTACAACGGAAGCGTGACTGTAGGCGTAGGTCAAATATGCCTGGGAGCTTGTACGGCCCCGTCCGGGTTGAACACTAGTCGTTGGGCAAGTGGGCTGCAAATACACCATAAACTATTACTGTTCAGAATGTTATTTACAGGCGATTTGATAAAGCGGTAATAGGTATATTTGCTCTAGCCTGATTAAATCGCTTTACGGTTGCCGGCCGCCCAACATGCGGGGAGGGGCCACTATTACAAACCCGCGGACGGCAGAGTTTGCGTTACACAGACTATATTAGCTAAATTGTCCCCGGATTCTCTCTGACGCAAAGATAAACTTCGGTTTGAGACCGTCAGTATACCTGATGGGAGACCCTTTCGCCAAGTCCACGTGACTAATCAACGATCCTGTAATCAATTTGAGACGTAATCACAGATGACCGGAGAAGGAGCCGTACTCTGAAGGTTAATGACTAGTCGACTAGTTTTATTCTAAACCTTCCAGGGACTCAAAGGTTAATTGCACCAGTCTTTGGCAATAAATTTCAGCCGTAATCAAGTTTAGGCAAAATTTGATTACATCCACGATATGTTGTGCTTTCTTGCATCGTGAAATTTATTGGTGCTTTTTTAAAGAAATAATACAGTAGGTGAAAATGATATCAAAACTACATGGCCAACGGTAGCGTAGCTACTTCATGATCAGTGAGCTTAACTGGATCGAGATCAATTTCACCTTCATTTTCTTCACTTTCATAACTTTGCTTTGATCTATTTTACCATCTTGGAGCCTGTGAACGGTTTTATTGTATGTTGATATAATTTTTACTCGGTATCAGTATATATTAATCCTCCATTTGATGGGCTCAGTAAAGGAAGAACCATTATTATCTGTTTTATGACATACCTTAACATATTGATGGCGAGGTTCATTAAGTTCCATACGTATCTGTGTATTTCAGACCTTCTGTGAAATTGGTATGGGAGGTACAGACTGTAAAATGCTGAGAGATTTCAAATCAAATGCCTCTAATAAGACGAAAACAACCTGCGAACGTACTTGCGTACTTGATTCGGACCAGACCAAAAACCACATTGGTTCTTAAAATTGAACAACTAATGAAATCGCATTTGTGTTGCGTTGACTATCATTTTCCACCAGGCACCAGAAAATTCACTCACACATTCCTTGGGCCCAAAAATGCCAAACCTTTCCCCGGGGAGTTAGAATCAGAACATTTGTTTTCGAACAGCCTTTTACGATATTCTACTGGATGATCAGCACAGCTATTCAGCAGTGACAGCGTTTGCCATGACGGATGGCCGCTGTAGACAGGGACAACCCCACTAATTGACCTTTCACCCCACAGATTGCTCCCTTGTTTATGGGCATTTATTAGGGGAACAGGGGATCCAGCCTGCTGTCAGGTCTTCTTCTATTGACGGATAAATCAGCTTCCAGGAAAGAGTAGGCAGTCTGCTGAAAGCGTACTGTTCTAAACCATGGACTAGACACAAATGCTTCTAGTAAAGGGAATAGACTTTCCGTAAATTACAATGTATTTGGGAGACCATAAGATAGACCATTACCATTTTAACCATTGCTTTACATCGTCTTTGTTTATTGACAGATCTCATTCTTAGTTAAAGGCTCTCCAAGGGCAAATAAAGAATGTCTATGCCCTTTAACTCGCTTGTAAAACTGACCAATGACTTGTCATTCGCAGATTTTTTTTAGCACTGTTTCTGTCTAGACATCTATTTCTGCCCATGCCTAGTTGACATATTAAGCCCCAGTACGGTGGTGCATCTATTTATTTGATGTATTTTAGCCATGCGTATCTGTCTGGTGAGGATACAAGAGATGAGGTATCTGTGAGTCATGTTCACGTTCACCTTCTGTGACCGAGCGGTCATCAGGGTCATGGCCAATCTTTGCCTGGTCATGATTACCCCGTCTGGGCACAGACAGGTTAGTTCATCTCCGGTGACGCTTCTATGGGATAAAGACCCTCTGTCATGAAGAAAATCAGAGATGGCGGAATTCACCCTCTTACCTGTACTGCTGCTTCGCAGCCATTTAATTACCGCAGACCGGTAGATTACACAAACGCATTTTGATACCTTTTTCAGATACATGTAGTATACATTGTCTTTCACCAGTGACTAACG